CTATCTATCTATCTATCTATCTATCATCTATCTATCATCTATCTATCTATCTATCTATCTATCTATCTATCTATCTATCTATCTATCATCTATCATCTATCTATCATCTATCTATCATCTATCATCTATCATCTATCTATCTATCATCTATCTATCTATATCTAATCTATCTATCATCATCTATCATCTATATATCCATAAGCCTAGGACACAGGCAATAGTGTGGTGAAGACCTGGGGTGGGGTGGGGGCAGGCAGAGGAGGTAAGTTGGGGGTAAATAAGGTTCATCTGTAATAATGTCAAGAATAAAATACAAAAAGCTCAAAGAGGAAGGCAAGAGCCATTTTGTAAAGTATTTTCTAGCTAAGGGAAGGATATTGAAATTTATTCTGGGTATGATTGTAGGCAATTAATGGATTTTAAGCCAAAGGATTTTAAGTAGCTCTGGTTGTTTATTTTACCTAGCTACCTAGAGGTGACCCCATGCTTTATGTAATTTAGTGGTTAGTCAAGGATTTGGACAGAGTTTGTTCTCAGATTTTGGGACACACCCTCTCAGTGGTTGTCTTGTTTCCAGAGCCTCTCTGTAAATTTTCAGCCCTTTGGCCAACCTTGAGCTATATCCTCTGAGATATTAAGCCACTAAGTTTTCTGATTTTTTCCAAACTCACAACCATAACCCAGAACAGTTCTTTTATCTGTGACTTAGTGGAAGACTCCACTATTGTTTCTGCCTGCACTTTTTAAACATGAGGTCTTCCTCATATGTGTATAGTATAGTTGTTAGCTAGAATTTGGGGAAGAATATATGTCCAGATTTGGGGTACCATCCCTACTGTGGCTCTCTTCCTTGTAGTACTGTCACCCCTAAATTTCCAGATAATTTTCCAGTTTGAGCCAGTAAGGCTGTGTTATCATACCATGTGAATTATAGGTTTGGGAGAGTACCTTCAGGAAAAAAAAGCAACAAATGTAATTTTAATCTGTTACTATTGCCGTCTTTCAAGGGTAAATTTTTCTCAAGTTTTTGTCTGCTTTCAATGACTTTCCACTGCTTTCAAATAGTCTTTCCCTCTATCTTTCTATCTCTCTCTCTATATATTTATTCAAATTTTATAATTAATAGCTATAAGAAAGTGTATCCAAATGATTTAGTCTGTTGCTGCCAAAACCTAGAACATTTATTGTTATTTTAATTTGAGTTTATATTAACAGCAATTTTGAAATTTTTCATGTTTATTAGTCACTTTATTCATTTCGTGAATTTTCTGTTCCTGTCATTTACACATTTTTCTATTTGTATGTTATTTTTATCTTATCTGTAAGGGTTCCTTATTTATTAAATATATTATGATATTAACTCATCAAACATTCTTATTTTGAGCCTCAAATGAAATGTGTTTTATAATTTAAGATTTTGGATTTATGCTGATTGTTATCTTGGCTTTTCCTGTTCATATAGCATCATTTAGTAGAACAGACAAGGTAAGGAATTTGTTCTTACTAGAGATGCCACTGCATAAAGAAGGGAGCTCTTGCCTTTTTATAAGGCAAAGTCTTCTAGTTAGCTTTTTTGATCTGTTAGGGCAGTGTTGGCAGTGAACTATCTCAGCAAAATCTTGTCAGATATATTATCTCTGTACTTACTGATTTCCATGGTATTATTTTTCAATCATAATCATAAGTTGTACTCACCCATAACTAGTGTTAATAGGCTGCTGCATCTTTGCATCAGAGGAAATATTGCAAGGTAATTAATATTTACTAAGGACATTCTGGGTCCTTGCTAGAACTCTATTCAAACATTGTTTTTTCTCTTTTTTGTCTCTAGGAGTATACCATTGATGTATTTTTTCGACAGACATGGCATGATGAAAGACTAAAATTTGATGGACCCATGAAGATCCTTCCACTAAACAATCTTCTGGCTAGTAAGATCTGGACCCCTGACACCTTCTTTCACAATGGCAAGAAATCGGTGGCCCATAACATGACCACGCCTAACAAGTTGCTCAGACTGGTAGACAATGGAACCCTCCTCTACACAATGAGGTCAGAAAGTGGTATCCCTATCTAAAGTATACTTGGGGATAGGACTGGGGTTGAAAGCGGCATCTTAGGCTATCTATTGAAAATCCTTTCAAGTTTACAGATTATAAATGCACATTATAGGTGTGTACTCCTTACATATTTGCAGGTATACACACTCACAGACATATGTATTATAGATACACATATAAATTGAGAGTTGGTGCTATGAACATTCTCATAAACACAGAGATATATATTCATTATGTATAAACGTATGCATACTCCAAGACACATGTGGACTAATACACAGGCATATACAGAGTCAAGGACACTTAATTATACAGATTCACAGCCATACAAACAGGCATGAACACTGTGAGAGCCATAATAAGCTAGGTTTAACTGTAGCAACAAACTAGTATGATGCAGAGTTATGAGAACCAAATGAGATGACAGATATTTTCTGAAACATACAATGCTATATATATATATATATTAGAAAAGTATGACATACAGGATTAGGCAAAATTAGGTTTACAGTTGTTTGTATGAAAAATAATACAATAATTAATAAATAATACAAGAATAAGCTCTGTTTTGCATACTCACAACAGTAAACCTACTTTTGCCTAACTCTATATTATATCTTTTAACTGCTTAAGAAATATATATCATACTTTTTTACCCCCAAAGCATAAAACCCATCACAATTTTATGGTTTTCATGACTCATTATTTTTATTAGACCTGTTAGGTATTGAAATTTGCTTTCAAAAAGAATGACTTTAAAAGGATTTCTAATTCAATTAGATTCTATGCCCCAACACTAAAAACTTACTTGGTTCTTGGTTGATGCTTTTGCTATGTTTTCTGTTGTCAGCTGTCACTTCCTGAAGCTCCTTCTCACATTAATTAGTACCAATTTTTTTTTTTTTAAATATACCTTTACTGATCTCAGAGAGAGGAAAGGAGAGGGAGAAAGAGAGATAGAAACATCAGTGATGAGAGAGTCATTGATTGGCTAGCCTGCAACCCAGGCATGTGCCCGACCAGGAATCCAACCCTGATCTCTTGGATCCTAGGTCAATGCTCAACTGCTGAGCTACTCCCAACCGGGCAATTAGTGCCAATTTTAAGTAACTGAGTTAGCATTTATTTAATTGAAAAAATGTGATCCTTCAGTGCAGGTTCTGTGGGCATTTAAAATTTGTATATTTGTTATTTTTATTATTATTATGATTATTATTTTTTTTTAATTAATTAATTTTTAAAAATATATCTTTATTCATTTCAGAGAAAGGAAAGGAGAGGGAGAGAGAGAGATAGATGCATCAATGATGAGAGAGTCATTGATAGAGCCCTCAACCCGGGCATGTGCCCTGACTGGGAATCGAACCCCGATCTCCTGGATCCCAGGTCGATGTTCAACTGCTGAGCCACACCCGGCTGGGCTATATTTGTTATTTTTAATATGTGAAATGAAACTCAAATAATGCATGCCTGGTAAATATGTGGTGAATACCTGAAGTGTGCTTGCCTATATGCTAGTTCTTCATTACTTTAAACTTGCTATTTATTGATGTTTTTCCTAAAAGGAATTGGGAGACAAGAAGATGGCCAAGGAATAATGCATAGCAAATGGATACTTAAGAAAAAAATTGAATTTATAGAGGAAGAGCTGAGCAACTAGAGGACAAATGAGAATAGAGTAGAGGAGAAAATGATGGAGAAAAAAATGGATAGAAGTGGGAAGAAGAGCAAAGAGAGGTGAAGGGAAAATAATCTGGAGATGATATCACTAAAATTAACATATATTTTATTGATCTCTTCCCTTATATTAAATATGTATGTTATATGTGTATGAGAGAGAGAAGCTGACAAAGACATATTATTAGGAAAAAGAGGGTAAAGAAAGAATATGAGAGAAGAGAAAATGTAAAAAGATTGAGGAGATAAAGTAAAATAAAGATGGTAGATCTTATTATGTCCTGAAAGGAGAAATTAGAGAAAAGATTGCAGTGGATAAACAGAAAGAAAAGACATAGAAGTAGGAAAGGACACTGTGGGGAAAGCAATTGTGATAGAGGAAAGATGAGTAGTATTTATTCATTCATCAAACATGTTTTGACTTCCAAATATGTACATGGCCCTGGACTAAGTTCTGGGTATGCAAACATTTATAAGACATGTTCTCCATCCTTAAGATAATCACAGTATAATAAGAAAGGAAGACAAATAGATATTCATAAAAATTTTAAGTGACATGGTAAAGATATGGGTAATTATGAGAGGGTTAAAAGGCCCATCTAACTTATTCTTTTAGGTCAGGTTGAGCAAAGAGTCCCTGGATGATTATTAGTATTAGCATTCAATTTGTATTGTTATTATGTTTTTGTTGTTTGCTTCTTTTTATATTTATTGTTGACAGTATTACAGAAGTCCCCCACTTTCCCACATTGTTCCTGTCCACCCAGCTCCTCCCCACCACAGGCCTTCACTGCACTATTTCCTGTGTCCATGGGCTATGCTTATGTGCATATAAGTTCTTTGGTTAATCTCTCTGAGATTTATCAGTCTGTTCATGTTTCCATGTCTCTGGACCTATTTTGTTTGTCTATTTTGTTCTGACAAATAGAATATAGTCTAGAAAATCATAGGTAGAAAGTGGAGGGAAGAGAACAAGGATATTCTAGGCAGAGAAAACCAAGTGAGCAGTTGCAGAAAATGGAATGGTATATTATAAACAAGAGAATGAGGTGATCAGTTTTATTTTATATATGGCACTCTACTGACTGTGTAAAGAATGCACTTGAAGGAAACAAGACTGAAATTAGGGAAACTGGTTAGGATACACCTTAAATAATATAGGTGAGGAGTGGTGAAGTTCTAATTCAGAGCAGTGGATTAAGATGGAGAAAGGGAGATATACTAAGGGAATAGACAGTAAAAACAGCCAATGTCACAGTGACAATGAGGAGGAGTCAAGGTAGTAGATACCCAAGTAACATGGCTGAATTATGTTGTTTCAAACTGAAGTAGATTATATGAGAGTTAAGAGATATTTAGATAGGATAAACCTGCGAGATTAATTTTATACAAGATCAGCTTGAGAAGATTTAAGATTACCCAGGGATAGAAGTCTAATAGCAGTTGGATATACAAGTCTTAAGATCAATAGAGAGATATAAGCTAGAGATGTAAAGTTTCATGTTGGTACAACCATATGGATGGATGCAATCACTTCAGGAAAGTATTTAGAGTGATAAAATCATGCTGAGAATCCATTCATGTAGCATCACTATCATTAAGGCAGAAAGGAGAAAGAGAAACCTATAAAGGAGACCAAACAGGAAAAGTAAGGAAGGTGTTCATAGGACCACCGGCGTGCAGTGTCTTCAAAGTGTGGTAGTGAATACTGCTACTTCCAATATTTCCAGTTCACCTCCTTGGTACATGGTAATACTGTGTTTCCATAGAACCTTGAAATTAGGCAAGGAAAAATGACTTGCTTTGGCTAACTAAATATGAGTGAAAATAACATGTGTTATTTCTGAGGGAGGATGGGAAAATTTTAAGAGCCAGTGCATGAGTTTCTAGTGAGTAGCATTATGCCAGGTGGTCTTGGCTCTATCATTCTGTGTTCCTCATGGAAGATGGCATAGAATAGAGTACCCTTCCCCACAACTTCAGGTAGACAAATAGTGTGAGTGAAAAATAAACCTTTGTTGCTTTAGGACACTGAGATTTTAGGATTGTTTGTTACTGCATAATTTTTAAAATATGTCTTTATTGATTTCAGAGAGAGGAAAGGAGAGGGAGAGAGAGAGATGGAAACATCAATGATGAGTCATTGATTGGCTGCCTCCTGCACGCCCCCTACTGGGGATCGAGCTCACAACCTGGGCATGTACCTCGACCGGAAATCGAACTCAAGATCTCCTGGATCATAGGTTGATGCTCAACTGCTGAGCTACACCAGCCAGGCATTACTGCATATTAATGTAACCCATTTTGATTGATATATGAAAAGATTAAAGTTTTTAAAAAGATGAGAGTGATCAATAATAATTACACTGATAACAGAAGAATAAATACAATACTTAACATCAATATAGTACTTGCAATGTGCCAGGCACTCTTTTAATAATTCTACTTTTATAATCTTTATAACAACTCTATGAGATAGTTGTTATTATCCCCACTTTACAGATGAGAAAACTGAGGCAAGGTAGGTAATAAAATTTTACAAGATCACCTAGGTAGTAAATATTTGAGTTAGCATTCATACTCTGGCAGTTTGGTTGCACATTCATGCTCTTTACTATTATTTATACATTTTTACAACATTGTTGGCTATTACAGAAAGCTCAGTTAACACAGAGAATTGAAAATATGTATTTGGCTTGGTGACATGGAAGACACTGGTGTTCTTCACATACACTATTTCAATGGAGTGCTTAGTGCAATGAGAAGTTTTTAGGAGTTTGGCATAGAGGTAGTGGAGATAGTAAGCATAGAAAGTGTTTTCTGGTTAACCCCTTCACCTTCTTTCATCCAAAAACATATATATATATATATATACATATATATATATATACACACAAATACATAAACACAGACAACAGTCTGGTGATAGCCAGAGAGAAAGGGGGTAGTGGGGTAGGTGGAAGTGGGTAAAGGGGGGGGGGAATGGGAACAGAAAGNTTAGTCTGATTTATTATGAATCTGTTAAGCAGTTTAAATTGAGTAAAACCAGTGGGGATAAGTGAAGTTGGACAAAGGGGGGTAGAATGGGAATAGAAAGAGACTTTGCTTGGGATGATAGGCACATGATGCAGTGTGCAGATGATGTTTTATTGAGTTGTACACTTGAAACCTGTATAACCATAAACCTGGAGAACCAATGTCACCTCAATAAATTCAATATTAAATAAATAAATAGTTTAAAAAAGAAAGAAAATGCTTGCTGAGAACTTGTTTGAAAATGAAAAGAATGGGTATATAATAGATAAACTCAGGAGT